TGGTGGACTTGTGCACATGTAGGCAGCACCCACAGTCTTCGCCTGGATAGAACGTACGGTCATTATCGCTGTATCAACGAAACTGAAAACTGCCCCAAATACAGCTACAATGACAGTACATATTTTTTTCAATCATTCATTTGGTGGACTTGTGCGCATGCAAGCGTCTAACGACACTCACTACAACTTGTTTGTACATCATGCAGAAATGGTTTCACCCAGTAGACCCGACATTTGCAGACACAGAGATTCGATCCCTAGACCTGTGCCCAAACCCTGTACATAGGCCCAGCGATCTGTGTGAGACTCGATCCCTAGGTCTGTAGATTAGGAGTTAGGTCTGTTACCGTTAGGCTTAGGAAGGTCTGTTCTAGAAGTCTCTATCTGAGTCTACTGAGGCCTAGAGTCTGTCTGTAAGTCTGTAGGTTCCAGGAGGTCGTAGGTCCCTGTAGGCCAGTCCAGTCAGCAAGTACCAGGGGTAGGGGCTGCACGTGGGGAAGGTTCTGGACCACGCTGTGAGTTCCACACGTTTTGGCCAGAAGGCCAAACGTCTGGAAGCTTCCCTGGGCCACACGTTTTGCACCAGGCCCACACGTTTTGAGGCAGGCCTGGGTACCTCCGAAGAATTATAAATAAAGAGGCAGCGTCCAGCCAGCCATTCATTCGCCTGTGTGCCATGCGGAAGAGCTGCCTTGGTCTCTTGTGCGTGGAGGACTGCAGGTGCCCGGAGAAGAAGTGGGCTGTGAAGAAGACAGCGGCCATAGCGAACCAGCGAGGGTGACACCGGCGGCCGTAGCTAGGAGGAGGAAGACGACGGCGGCCATAGCCACCCAGCTGTTGGTGCAGACAGAGTGTGCAGAGTGTGTGTGACTGTGTAGCGTGGACATTCAGGGTGATCCTCGTACGTGTGTGCATGTGAGAGTGAGGGAGAGTGAGGCTGGTGGTAGAGAGTGTGTTCGGCGGCCATAGCCGCAAGTTGTACAGTTGATTCAGACTGAGTTTAATACAAGTTCATTGTTGTTCCTGAGTTGAAAGAGTTCGGCTTTGCCATCGGTTCACAAGTGTGCATGTTGTGAGCAAGTCCAGAGTCGAGTCTGATTGCATTGGTATCAGAGCTGGTACCCGTTGTCCACGCCAGCGGAGCTGCGGCAAGCAAAGAAGACGGAAGAAGCCGCCATAGCCGGAGCTCAGCAAGAAGGAAGAAGCTGCCATAGACGGATCTCAGCAGAGAGAGAGAGAGAGAGAGAGAGAGAGAGAGAGAGAGAGAGAGAGAGAGAGAGAGAGAGAGAGAGAGAGAGAGAGTGGAACCACAGCGTTGACCAGGAGCGTTGACCGGCGAGTTGACCAAGACCGTTGACCGAAGCGTCGACCCAGATGGAGCGAGAAGATTACCGGTACCATCTCTCCATGCCCTGGCCTATCCCTTACCCCGTGGATGTGCACCTTCACCCTGGTACTTGCTGACGTCAAGTCTGTAAATTCCTTGTTTTTTCTTTTCTTCATTCTGCCTGGATCGGATCGTTCCCGGAGGGCTAAACGGTAGGAAGAGGGTGGGGGGAGCTCTATCTTGCAGAGGCATCACAAGGCGCGGGGTGAATATCTCAAAGAGGGTAGGGGCGGAGTAGGGGGTTGCCCTATTCTGGGGCAGAGGCTGGTGCGTGGGTCAACATCAGTCCCTGCGGAGGCAGAAATGGGCAAGGGGCGGGGGGGCATGCTTTAGGTGGGAACTGCGTGCTCCTGGGGGAGGGGGGCAGAGGGTTGGTTCTATATTGGGGCCGAGGGAGAGTGGGTGACTCACCTCGGCGGAGGCAGTGTAGGGCTGAGGGGGAAGGGGGAGGGGGAGGGAGGGGCGATATATCATCCAGTTTACTACATCTTTCCATTTGTTTTGCCTCTCGAGGAGGATGTAGGAATAGGTGTTATCTGGCAAGTCATCTGTGATCCTGTGAAGGGTGGTTGAAAATTCGGTGGCCCTTGAAGACCGATGCTGGAGCAACGCTGGCCGGAGCCGGAGCTAGGTGGCGCAACTCTGTGAACCAGCTTAGTGGGGGCGTGAGGCCTGGTAGAGAGATCTGGGGGGCTGTTTGTGGGGGCAGTCGCAGTGGTCATCGAGGGTCGTAACTGGAGCAATGCTGGCCGGTGCTGGAGCAAGGTGGTGAAACTCTGTAACCTAACCTGATGGGAGCATGAGGCCTGGAAGAGCTTCGGTTCGTGGTGAAAACAGCCATGTTGGTGGTGGTCGTAGGTGGATTGAATAGGTTTCACCTATCTGATTCGTGGTTGGGAGGCTTTCTGACACACATATTCTAGTGACTTGGTAGAGTCTGAATAGTGGAAAATAGGTCGGTTGTTCTTATGAACGTCTTAGGACTCTAGGGACTCTTAGCAACCCATCTTAGGCGGTTTTGAAGCTGTTATACTCAGTGATCTGCGGGTGTTCGATGCCAGAACGACGCTGGCCGGTGCTGGGGTGTTGCCTTGTAACCTGCTGATGCAGGAGCGCGAGGCCTGGTAGCGAGATCTGGGGATGCTTTGGGGTGGGCATCCTAAATCACAGCCAAGGTTTGCTGCTGGGACGCCGCTGGTCGGAGCTGGGGCGAGTTGTGTTGCCCTGTAACCCAGCAGGGTGGGGGCGTGAGGCCTGGAAGAGCTCAGCAGGGAGTAAGACTGTGTTGGAAAGTCTTAGAAGGCTTTGTTAGGGATCCTGAGGGCTCTGAGCATTCGTAGGACCTCTGTGGCAGCCTATTGCATGACTAGTTCCTTAATAGGTCATTAGATATTCATGATCCTCTGAATCATATCGTGTTCATAGACTGCTCTCAGCCGAAGCCGGGTAATGGCCCCGGTATCTCAAATGTTCTCAATGAGATGTATATTTCGATATGGGACGCTGGGCCCGGTTCCCAGCACGTGCTGCTCCCCACGAATAGACTGGAACATTTGTTTTCAAAAAAAAAAAAGTAAAAAAAAAAAAAAAAAAAAAGTCTTGCAAGGTCGGTCAGTCATATCTGCCTGTCAGTTCTGTCCAGGTCAGTAGGAAGCTGTGAGTGTGGTCATAGAACCGAAAGTCTAGCCCGAGTAGTGAGTCAAGACCCCTCGATGAGGCGCGGAATTGCTGTTGATTGTGCACCGTCACCATGGTGGAACTCAGGTCTGGAACTAGTACCACCCCCTACAGCAAGGAGCAAGAGGAGAGAGCTGCCGCTATCCTGCGAGAGAGGAAGGAGAGAATGGAGAAGAGGGAACTGATTAAGCAGGCCAAGATGCTGGCCCTGCTGGAGGAGCAAGAGGCAAAGAAGAAGCAGATGGAGGAAGAGTTGAAGAAATGGACGAAGGAGCAGGAGGAGAAGATGGCGGCTATACAAGCGGATGTGGAGAAAAAAGAAGAAGAAGAAAAACAGGTGGAAGAAGAAGTACCGTTGGAAAGGACAAGAGGTGGAGCCAGTACGAGTAAGGACGAGGAGATTGAAAAGACCACACAAGAATGGACCGCACATTTGGAGTTGGGAGAAGATAAGGAGGCAGAGATGGCCATACCCCAAGCAGAGAGAGAAGCAGCGAGGAGAGAGTTGGAAGCAGAGAGGGACCCGATGAGGAGAAAGGTGAAAAAGGAGGAGCAGCAGAGGGCATGGAAGTGCCGCCTATCTCAAGAAAGAGTTAGGCGTTTGGAAGCGGCAGAAAGGGCAGAGAAAAATCTGAAGGCGGCGGAGACTAGGATGGGGAAGACCGGGGAAGAAACTGAGATAGCCAGTCAAGGTCCGTTTCCCCGAACCCTTCAGTGGAAAGAAGGGGGGAGATTTCGACAACTGGAAGGCCAACGTGCATTCCTATCTCTACTTACAGGGAGTCACGCCTGAGGACCACGTTTTGGTGGCCTTCCAGGCTCTTCGAGATGAGGAGAACAGCTTTGCTAGGTCGCTCGCCCGCGCTGCAAACTGCGAGAACGATATAGTCACCTATTCTAGACTGACACCCCTCTCTGAGTTCCTGAAATCGCTCAGGGAGCGATTCTCAGATGTGATGCGGGGGCTCAAAGCCTCCGACAAACTCCAAATGATACACACTCGCCAATGGAAAAGTGTGCATGTGCTCAAGTCCGCTATGGACGAATTGATTGCGGTCCCTGGGCATGGAGTAACGAATGCCCAGCTTCTTAACCTCTTCTACCGCGCCCTGCCTGAAAATATTTAGGGACACTTCTTTGAGAAGAAGAATCAGCAGGGCATAACCTATGACACTCTCTGTCGGGAGGCAGTTGCATTTGCCGCCCAAGCGTCGCTAGTTACCACGTTCTAGCACAAGGATTTGTCAAAGGGAAAAACGTGGAAGGGATGCACCATCTCGGGCTAAATTAAGGCCAAAGATAGTTTGATTCTGACGATGGAGGAAGGTGATGCAGGCGAGGTTCCCTACTCTGACATCGAGTGGGGACTAGAGGAGCAGGATAGTAGCGCTGGTCAGGGGAGAACCTACGCTGCTGTCGCGGTTGGAGGGAGGCCGCAAGGAGGACAAAGGTCCGACCAGAATGGCCAGTCCCCGGGTGGTCAAGGACAAGGCGACCAGGGGGTTGGCGGCAATGGCAACCGCCAAGCGGGAGGAAGGGGAGGTCCCCCGTCTAACCGTCCGTGTTTTAGTCGGTCACCTCCCAAATAAGGATGGGGGCACGATCTGGGCATAGAGCAAAAAGTATGGCAAGAACGCATCAACAGTTCTCAGTGCGTGTTTTGTGGGGACCCAGGTCATATCATCAAATTTTGTCCCAAGTATAGGGACCGTGCTGCATTTGGGGCAGCAAAAGACAATCGCCGGTAGGGGTTGCAACTGCCCCTACCCTAGGAGTGTGTGGATTTGAGCGTGCGTGCGAGTAGAGTCTCCCACTCCACATATCTCCCTGGCAGAGGTTGCAGACCGACACATAGAGATTTTTAGAGCTAGAGTAGGTGCCCTGATAGACAGTGGAGCGACTAGGAGTTATATCAGTCGTAAAACGCTGAAGAAGTTAAAGCTAAATCTAAAAGTCCAATGCTTAGAAGAACTTGTAGTCAACATCCTCGCAGAGCGTTGAAGAGTATGTCGAGGGGGTCCACGCCTACTTTCGCCTCAAGAAAGACGGGAAGGTAGAGAGTACTGCACTCCCTGACCCTCGTCGTAGAAGAGAGCAGGTTAACCGAGCACCCATTTTTCAGGCCCATTTATAAGAAAACCAGACAGTCATTTTAACAACACTTCACACCAATGTACAAAGTGCACTTCTTACAACCCCATCACAGAAAAAAACCCTAAAAAGAACAATTAAAAACATATAAAACAGCAAGCCAAAGGTGCATTTCCATGAAATTTGGCCAAAAAAAAACTCGACCAATTTTTAGAAATTTCAAAAATCTTAACAGCGCAAATTCTAAAACTCCAAATAACCCCAAATTTCATATACGGCAACCCTATCAAAATGCATATATAGCAAAAATGCCCCGTTAACCTCTTGTGACACTTCACACCAATGCATGAGTGCAGGCTTCCTAGTGTGTCAGACGAAGTCAAGCAAGTCCGCCTGTTCCACGAGTCCGGGGTAGATAATCCCCGTGCACATTGCTGCCTCAGCGCTCTGGGAGCAGCTCGAAGAGCAGGTGTTCGTAGCCTATGTTAGGCCGGTTTCTGACAAGCCAAAGGAAGAAGAGAAGATCCATCCTACTATCGCTAGTCTGCTGGAAGAGTACAAGGACTTATCTGAAGCACCTTCAGGAGTAGTGCCCAGACCAATCCAGCACCGTATAGAGATAGAACCTGGCAATAGAACACCTAAGGGGGCAGTCTATAGGATGTCTCCTAAGGAGATAGAGGAGCTTCGCAAACAGTTAGATGAGCTCCTAGAGAAAGGATGGATCAGGCCTAGCTCGTCACCATTTGGCGCATCTGTTCTGTTCGTCCCAAAGGAGGGATAATTACACATGTGTATAGACTACAGGGGACTGAATGCCATCACAATCAAGAATGCAGAGCCATTACCACGTATAGATGACTTGTTAGATCGAGTGCAGGGATGCAGGTACATCTCAAAGATAGATCTGAAATCGGGGTACCATCAGATAGAAGTGCATCCTGACGATCAGTATAAGACGGCGTTCAGGACAAGGTATGGGCATTACGAGTTCATAGTGATGTCGTTTGCTTACTAATTCACCAGCTACATTTCAGCGCTGCATGAACGACTTGTTTAGACCGTGGTTAGAAGATTCGTTGTAGTTTATTTAGACGACATATTAGTGTTCAACAAGACCCTCGAGGAACATGAGGGCCATCTACGGCAGATTCTAAGCAAGCTGAGAGAGTCTAACTTTAAGATTAACCCGAAGAAGTGCGAATGGGCCAAGACATAGGTCCTTTACCTAGGCCATGTACTAGACGGCAACGACATTCGGCCTGAGGACAACAATATTGCATCCATTAGAGATTGGCCAACTCCTAAGACGCTGACAGAATTGCACTCATTCTTAGGACTAGCTAACTACTATAGGAAGTTCGTGAGGAACTTCTCTACGATCGTTGCTCCCCTTTGTAGGTTACTGAAGAAAGAGACTATCTGGAAGTGGGACCAAGACTGTACGTCAGCCTTCAAGAAATTGAAGAAGGCCTTAATAGAATACCCTGTCCTCAAAGTTGCTGACCCGTCATTACCATTTGTTGTTACCACAGACGCTAGTCAGTATGGCATAGGCGATCAGTATGGCATAGGCGCCGTCTTACAGCAAGATGACGGTAATGGTTATAGACCCGTACAGTTCATGTAAGCCAGGCTGCCCTCAGAAAAGGTAGCAGCATCGACATACGAGAGGGAACTCTACGCTCTCAGGCAGGCCTTAGATCACTGGAAACACTACCTGAGGCACTTCAAGGTATATTCTGATCACGAGACTCTTAGATGGCTAAAGACATAGGCCAAGATGATGCCCAAGTTGACGAGATGGGCTGCTCAGATAGACCAATTTGACTTTGAGTTGAAGCCTGTAAAAGGAAAGTATAACGTGGTAACCTATGCTCTGAGTAGGAGAGCTGATTACTTCGGCGCGATAGTGCACTATCTAGACATAGGGGCCGATCTGCAGCAGAAAGTAAGAGATGCCTATGCACAAGACCCGATTTACAGTGAGCTGATGAAGAGAGTAAGGGAAGCCCCAGATAGCGAGCCGCACTACCGAACTATGAACGGGCTACTGTTTGAGAAGACCAATGTCACTGATAGACTGTGTGTCCCCAACAGTGAAGAGATCCGCAGTTTAATCCTAGGGGAATGCCACGATACGGAAGGACACTTGGCAGAAGACCTTAGCTAACCTGATGATGTCATACATGTGGCCAGGAATGAAAGCACACTGCATAGAGTATGTGAGAAACTGCAAGGTGTGTCAGCGTAATAAGACTACAACTAGAGCCCCTCTAGGTCACTTGCCTATTCCATCAGGACCCCGAGATTCAATTTCCATTGACTTCATGGATACTGGGGTCAGAAGTAGGCACTGCAAAACTCAAATCATAGTGGACCGATTTAGTAAGTATGCAATGTTTGTTCCCCAACCTTCAGAGGTACGTACAGACTTAGTCATTAAGTAAGTTTTTCGACTTTTGGGTGAGCGAGCATGGCATGCCGCTGTCCATAGTTAGTGATAGGGACACATAGTTTACTAGTCAGAATTGGCAGGATCTTATGAAGGTCTATGGGTCTAAGTTGTTGATGTCGTCAGGGCGACAACCAGAGACTAATGACCAGACAGAGAAGATGAATAAGATCCTGCAATAGCTACTCATAATGTATATTAGACCAGATCAGATAAACTGGGATGAGATGCTTCCCAAGGTAGCAAGTGCCTACAATAACAGTGCTCACCTAGCTACTTGCAGGACTCCTAATGAGCTACATAAGTCGTTCGGACCTAGGCGACCGTTTGAGGGACTAAACCGGGACCAGATACAACGACTACCACCCAGTACACGAGAGTTTGCATTGCAGCATGAACCGGAAGTCGCTAAGGTCATAGACAATTTGAGGAAAGCCCAGCATCGCATGATAGAGCAAGCTAACAAGCACCGCCGACCTTCACAGTTTCAGGTAGGCGATCTAGTCTGGGTCAAGTCAAAGGAGTTTGCAACTAAGGAAAACATCTCGCAGAAGCTCTTAACTGCGTACAGAGGACCGTGTCCTAGAAGTCAAGGAGGAGAGGACGGCCCGTCATATACAATAGAGATTCCATCACACCTCCACACGTACCTAGTCTTCGATTCGTCTAAGTTGTTGCTTTGCACCATGCCCGTCAGATTTACCTCCAGGAGATCGAAGATTCCGCCAGACATGGATGGTGCATATGACATAGATCGCATAGTGGAAGAGGACGTGTTCAGGACAAGAGGTCGAGGTTGTCCCCAAAAACAGTATAAGGTTAGGTTCGCATACCAGGAACCCGAGGACGACCGATGGTTTACCAGAACATAGCTCTTAGAAACCGCTCCCGACATAGTGCACGCTTACGAGAGAGAAAGAAAGGGTAAAGGTCCTATCCAGTGTTTTCGGAGGACCTTGAATTTAGTACGGCGGGACTGAAATGGTTTCACCTATAGACTTGACATTTGCAGACACAGACATCCGATCTCTAGACTTGTGCCCAAACCCTGTACCTTGTACATAGGCCCAACGATCTGTGTGAGACTCAATCCCTAGGTTTGTAGATTAGGAGTTAGGTTTGTTACCGTTAGGCTTAGGAAGGTCTGTTCTAGAAGTCTCTATCTGAGTCTACTAACGCCTAGAGTCTGTCTGTAAGTTTGTAGGCTATAGAAGGTCGTAGGTCCCTGCAGGCCCGTCCAGTCAGCAAGTACCAGGGGTAGGGGCTGCACGCGGGGAAGGTTCTGGACCACGCTGTGGGTTCCACGTCTGGAAGCTTCCCTGGGCCACACGTTTTGGCCCAGACCCACACGTTTTGAGGCAGGCCCAGGTACCTCCGAAGAAATATAAATAAAGAGGCAGCGTCCAGCCATAAATTCATTCGCCTGTGTGCCATGCGGAAGAGCTGCCTTGGTATCTTGTGCGTGGAGGACTGCAGGTGCCCGAAGAAGAAGTGGGCTGCGAAGAAGACAGCGGCCATAGCGAACCAGCGAGGGTGACACCGGCGGCCATAGCTAGGAGGAGGAAGACGACGACGACCATAGCCGCCCAACTGTTGGTGCAGACAGAGTGTGCAGAGTGTGTGTGGTTGTGTAGTGTGGACATTCAGGGTGATCCTCGTACGTGCGTGCATGTGAGAGTGAGGGAGAGTGAGGCTGGTGGTAGAGACAGTGTTCGACGACCATAGCCGCAAGTTGTACAGTTGATTCAGACTGAGTTTAATACAAGTTCATTGTTGTTTCTGAGTTGAAAGAGTTCGGCTTTGCCATCGGTTCACAAGTGTGCATGTTGTGAGCAAGTCCAGAGTCGAGTCTGATTGCAACGCTTGTAATGCAGCTAAACAACTACACATAGGTGCAAGGAAAATGAACAGAAGCGAGATGACAATATTCAGATTGCACAATGACATTGAAAGCCAAATCGTAACTCAGTGTTCGGGAAGCAGCATTGCACCAATAAAACACCAAAGGAGTATCGTAGTACTGAAAATCAATGTCAATGAGAGCTTGCTCTCACCACCACCAACACATGTATCCAGTCTCTTTCTCCCTATCTGGCGCTCGGCGCTTAGCCTACTCCCTACACAGCTACTGCTAGCCTGCTAATTGACGTCAGCAGCACCCGAAGTACTTGAAGATGTCGCCAATGCAGAACCATCGCCAATACCAGGTATGTGCCCTCACATCATCATCATCATCATCATCCTTTTCTCTCTCTCCCTTGTCTCTCCCTTACGTCTTCCCTCTCTACAACCGAAGACCACCCCTGCGCCTCACTGTATGTCCAAGCCCACAGCCAGCTATGGAGGATGGGCTATGGCGCTGCCCTCAGCAGCGCCCTGCTTCACCACACGACCACACGTGCGCAGCCTCTTGCTCCAATGCTAGCAGCCAGCACGCAAGCTATCGCTCCAGCAGCGCTGTCGCCAGCCAGCAAGTGCCCGAATGAGGCTGGCCGGGGAGAGCTCTTCCCTATATGGAAAGAGCTGGCCTGCTCGTGCAGCCTGGCTGGGCTGGGCCTGGGCCCAGAAGCTTCCGGTAGGCCCCAGGATGCTGCGCTTGTGTGCAGCTACTGGGCCTCTTGTGGTTGGGCCTCCCAACTGTCAGTGTATGATGCTGCGATTCTCGCCCAGGGCCTGCATTCTTTGGAAAGGCCCAGAAGGCCGTAGAAATGTCTTTGTTGCTCGGCCTGGGTTCCTCTCAACCAACTGACGCGTCGCAACTGCCTGGACCCCAAATATGAATTTGACAGTCGAGAGCCTCTTGTGATATGTTAGGCCCGCCTTCACTTAGGGCGGGCACTCTTGCAACAGGGGCCCTTCAGGCCTGCCGAGGAGCCAGATCCTCGCATAAGGAAAAAACAGAGAAAAATCTAACGACGCCGTCTACAACTTGTTGTACATGCTTGTAATACAAATAAACAGTTACCCAGAGGGAAACACAGAAAAATAAATCAGACGAAAACGTATTTGCCTGTTAAAAAGAACATTCCTGAGTAGCCGCAACGGATACGACTGCCACCGGTTGGTCTGACCCTTGCAAAAGGGTTCGGCAGTCCAGGGCTGGGGAAAATCGATCGTCGGGAAAAATGAGGCTTGGAGAGGGACTGACCCTTGCAAAAGGGTTCGGCAGTCCAGGGCTGGACTGTAGATGAAATTCCCGTGTTACCTTTCCCTTGTCCTGGGAATAAAAAGGCAAAAAAAAAAAACCTTCTATTTTT